AATCTCCCAACCGGCCGTCCCCGTACACACCCAGCCCCGAAGAAGCGACGAAAAAGACGAAGAAGGAAGGGTACTAATACAATTTTCCACCGATCCCGATTTCCCGGAAGTGGCCAATCTTCCCAGCTTAGGACCCCTCGTTGCAACCGCGCAGAAAATCACATGTTACAGACAGTGGTTCGTCACATATGTGACGCCGAGGGGGTTCCAATATTAGCAAGCTCCTGCTTGCTTGTTGACACGTGTCGATTTCTCTAATCGATCGACACACAGAGCAATTCTCTGTATGCCACTTACCGTTCAATTGCGTGTGGACATCATCCAATCGTGGCAACTCTGCTCTTCGACCAGTTCCTTAGATTGGGCTCTCGATAATTCAAGGACGGGATCTTTCTCGTGACGCCGCCACGACACGCATCCATTACCTGCTGCATCAGTAATTAACGGGGAGGGGGAAGGGAAGTTGATACATGGCAGCATGGCGGGGTGGAGGGCTTATGGGCAGCGGGGGCAGGAGACTTTCCATTCCGGATACAGTCTCCGGGAGTTCCAGGTAACGAACAATGCGATGGAAACGGGGGAATCGATTGCCAGTGCGAGGGAGGGACGCGAGATAGTCGGGGTAGAGGGTGGTAAAGGTTCGGAAGAGCGTCGCGGGGAAATGATCGCGATCTTCGCATGCGGGGATGGTCCCTGTTATCACGCAATAGACCTCAATCATATTGTGGCCTCGCCACGCGGCACTGAGAAACAAGATACGGAGGCAAAAGGCCGGGACGGCGCACCGGAGGGAGGGATGGGGATGCACTACGACAGCGAGGCGAGCGGCGTAGAAGTGGCGGAAGGTACTGCGGGGGAACGGATTGGAGGGGAACGTGACGGGGGTGGTGAGCTGGCGAAGGGTGAGGTAGTCAAGGGGACGGCGAGAGAGGGATCGGGGACGAAGGCCGATCACCCTTATCGGTACGTCGGAGAACTGGGGGACGGGTTGGGGAGGAGGGGGATCGGCTTCGTCGTCGTGCCGATGGGGCCGGAGTCATGGCCGCGAGGTCGCCATCTTCAGGTCGAGGCGGCTCCGGATCTCGGTTCGGGTCGTCGCAGATCTGCAGACTCGCCGCGCTTGCGAGTTCTAACTCCGTCTTCCCGGTCGCGATCTCTTCTCTTTTACGGGCTGCCTCGGGATCTTCTGCCTCTGTTCCTCTGCGCAGCGCTTCTTCCGGCACGGCTTCCCACTCCGATCCAACAGATTCTTCTTCGTGCCCTTCTTCTCCTTCGTCTTCTTCTTCTTCTTCGCTTGGCTCCCCCTCGCTATGCTCACTATAGCTTCCTTCTTCGGGGGTTTCGTCTTCTTCCCCGAATACTTCGTTGCTTTCCCCACTTTCTTCCCGTTCGTCTTCTCCTTCGTCCCTCTCAGTGCTTTCTTCCTCCTCTTCCTCCTCTCGAATGGCAGCAAGTTGTTCTGTCGTTGGATGCCTGAAGAAAGCAGGATGGCGAACCGTCCGGGGATCCAAATACTGCTGCTGTGATGGCGGGATGCGCTCTGCGGCTCCCTCCACACAAGTCGACCACTGGAGATACGTGCAAGAAAGCACGTGAGGAATCGGGTGCTCGTCGTCCTGCGAGATGATGTCGAGAGGGAGATCGTCCGCTAGCTGTGCTATCGGAATCGTGAGCTCTTGCGTGATAAGTTCCTGATGGTCGGGCCGTACTGTACCGAATAGGAACGCGAGGAGCTCTCCCTCCACGTTGGTGCGCCAGGCCTGGATAAACAGCAACTCCAGTCGCTCTATGCAAGGCGGGTGCGCTTCGCCCTCGGTCCACGTCAGCCGTACTTCGACCAAGCACAGAGAAAGCTTGATAAAGTCTTCGCGCCACAGTTCCCAGTGTGGGGGATGAATGTCGGGGACAGCAAGGGTCATTAGAGAGTAGGAAAGGCGAGGATGGATATCGGACAGCCAAAAGGTGGGAAGGTGGAGGGGAGATCAAATACGGAGATCGGAGAGAGAATCATTGGGGGCGAGGGAAGGGAACAACTACAGGGAGAACCGCCGGTGGATCACGCTGGTACATCCGAAGGCCATCGTATTCGATTGCTCGTGTCGCCGCGACCGTGTCCCTGGAATGAGCCAGAAGCTGGGTCCACTCGGCGACCAGATCGTTTGCCACGCGCGCAGCGATGTCCTCACCGCCGAATGTCGTTAAGGGAGGAGCGTGGAGAGATCGCCACGAAAGTTAATGACGATCGATATGCGGCTGACACCTGGCACCGCTCACTGATGAACTGCTACTGCCTCAGCCAGTACCAGTGCGTTGGGCCGGCCCTCGATTCTGAACACCGCCGCTGCATACACGCCTTCCGTACAGAAAAAGTGCGCAAGCCGCCGAAGATCTGGACTGAGGTGGGGATGATAGACCTGCCAGATCGTCAATCGATCACGGGGCGCAAGCGCTGCTTCGCTGAGGGCTCTCTCCTCCAGAAAACTCATGGCGATGGCAATGGTGACGGGGAGGCAGGGAGGGAGCGAGAAAGGGAGGGATGGCGGGGACCAGTAGGACTGAATACTCGCAACTATTAGGGCCAGGGGGCACCACTATGTCGGTAGTGTCCATGCTCACTTTTTGAAATGACCGTTCAACAACCGTGGGTACTATCGATCTTGGCGGTTGAATCGGCGCTTTATCAACGGCGCCGACTTGACAGTTGGCGACGATGTACTTCACATCGTCGCGGATATTGGACCAATACCACTCATTTTTGTCGATAGCGGACTCCGTGATTCGTACGGCAAAATGAGCCGCAGTTTCTTCGTGGGTTGTCTTAACCCAGTCATACCGCATGAACGGATGCGGCACTACCATCCAAATCCCACTGCCGTCCGTTTTCCGTTTTTCTAATTTACCCTCTACCCATCGATAATCCCGAACCCTTTCGTTGGCCCTCCTCCAATCTTCTTTGCTGAAGTCCTGAAGGGGGTTACCTACTAGGGTGGCAATTAAGGCAATATGCGTCCATACTTTGGCCCTTCTAAACTTTCGGGTCTTTTCCAATCCTTCTGACGTGGCATCCAAAAATCGAGCCTCGGTAGGAATCTTGTCGGTCCAGCACAAGGGGCACAACCATAGTCTACTTTCGCTTCTGTATTGGATGCACGAGCCATGGGCTCGTGCAACACACTGTCAGCAGTCTATCCAATCCGCATACCCCTCCCCGTTAGGACGCATGGGGACCAAATATACGCGGGAAATAGCTTCGCAAAAATAGCAAAATTTGTCGGGCAGGGAGAGGAGAGACGACGAGGAAGGGGGAGAGAGAGGGGTAGTGGGGTTACCTCCATCACCCATCGTCGCCCTTTAACTTCTTGCCATGTGGAAGAACTGCCACTTGTCCGTATTTCGGTTCGTTGGTCAAATCCGGCTCCTTCCACAGTGTAATTTCCTCACCCTTTGGTACCTTGGCAGGCCGGTGCAGACGTGTCAGCCCGTCCGCGTTGCCGTGTCGCTCTGTTTTTCGATTGGACGATATCGAAGTCGTATTCTTGTAATCGCACCGCCCAACGGCCAATCATGCCCGTGTAGTTGGTGAGTTTCTTCAGCGCCAGCAGAGGCTCGTGATCCGTTACGAGGCGAAACTTCTGTCCGTAGAGATACAGATGGAAGTGTTGGATTCCCCAAACTACTGCATAGCACTTACCCTGAGGTGTGGAGTCGTTTCTTCGTTCGTCTGGTACGGTTCGTGACGCGTACTCGATGATGTATTCGCGACCATCGTTCCCCTTCTGTGCTAAAATAACGGAAATAGCTTCCGGTTGCCAGTCCGTGATGAGAATGAACTGTTTCGAGGGGTCCGGTCGAATCAAAATAGGGGTCATTGCCAGAGCGTCCTTGAGAGTTGCAAAAGCCTGCTGGCACTCCGCGTCCCAGCTGAGGGGCTGGTCCTTCCGTAACAGATTCGTTAGTGGTCGTGCAATCGCGGCAAAGCCCTTGATGAAGCGTCGATAATACGACGCTAGTCCCAAGAAGGCTCGAACCTGCGTCAGTGACGTGGGAACCGGAGCTTCCTTTAGCACCGCAACTTTTCTCGAGTCTGGCCGCAGTCCTCCACGTGTCACGACATTGCCCAAGAACGAAATTTCCGAGAGGAAAAATTCGTTCTTCTCAAGCGCAATTTTAAACCCCGCGTCTCTCAATGCACCCAATGTCCATTTGATGTGTTGTTCGTGCCAGTGATAGGTTTCCGAGTAGACCAGGATGTCGTCCATGTACACGATCACGCAAAAGTTGATCATCCCTTGCGTCAGCCATGTCTTGTTGACACAGTTCTGGAACGCCATGTTCATCGCTCGCTGAAATGTGGCAGGCGCATTGCAAATCCCCATCGGACACCGAACCCACTGCCACGTGCCCTCAAACAACACAAAGGCCGTTTTCGGTCGATCTTCTTCCCTTACCAGAATATGATGGAAGCCATGCCGAATATCAAACTTGCTGAAATAATTAGCACACCCAATCGCATCCAACAAATAATCAATCTGGGGGAAGGGATACACATCCTTGATCGTAATTTCATTCAGCTTGCGACAATCAATGCAAATGCGAATCGCCCCGTTTTTCTTCGGCACTAATACTACGGGAAAGGTCCAGGGTCTAGTATCGGGTTCAATCCAACCACTGGCTTCGAACTCCCGAGTTCGTTCGAGAGCATTTTTGCGTTCAATCAAGGAATAGCGATAAGGTTTGCAATGAATCGGGGAGTGATTTCCTGTCCGAATTTCATGTTGGATTAATAACGACAATCCGATGTCAGTGTCTGACACACTAATCGCTCCTTGGTATTCCGTTAGAATATCCGCAATCACCTGGTGGATTTCATCCGGCACATATTGTGGAACGTGTAGTTCAAAAAGTTGGTTCCAAATCCGAACGTCAATCTGTTTCGTGTTCGCCTGTTTTATCAAGTCGGGTGGAGGCGCCGAGATGAATAAATGATCCGATCGCCAGAAAAACACCGTGGCCATCATCTGGGCATCTTCTTCTCGGATTGCCACGTGTCCTTCCGGGGTAATCCCGTCGCAAACATCCTGCCTTGGCACTTCCTTGGTTGCAATCTTTATCCCCAACCCGTTTGTTTCTGCTTTAAAACGCCCCCGGGGTTCCAGAGAGTTTGCTTCCGCCCCCAAGCGTAGCAATCTCACTTCTTTAGCCATTGTTAGTAAAGACCTAGGTAGTTCTGTAATGTCGTAATAATGTTTTTTATCGCTATACCTGGCGAGGAGAGGGGTGATCCCTTCGTATAGAGTTTGAGGGGGTTCCAAAGAGTCGACCATCCTCGGAATCTGCACGAGGGGCTCTCCCAAGATCGTCGCCTTGGTCCTTTGAATTTTTCGGCTGGTCAGTTGCATCGTTCTCGCTATCGTTTTGGGCGGCGGGTAATAAACGCGTTGTCGTACCAATTTCAAGATTTCCGGATCATCTTCGTCACTGCTTTCCGCATCATCAATTGATGGCTCCCCTTCTGCAGGTTCGTCTCAGGAGATCATGCGGAGAGTCCCCGCCATCATTGGCGAAACCCACGGAACCGTGTTAATAGTAGTGCGAAGGGTCAATCGCATAGGCACCGCGTAGGGTTTTCCTCCTGTATTTCGGAGGACGATCGATCGTCGTTCGAAATCCAGGTTTGCTCGTAACGCCACAAGAGCAGGAAGTCCGAAAAGAACGTCGTACTTATTAACATCTAGTACTACGACATCCCCAAGCGCGTGTACTTTTCCTAATCGGAAGGCGACATTGATCATTCTCCCCACAGTTTTAATCTTTTCCTCATCTGCCGAAACGAGCTGATCTTTCTCGGTGAGCATGATCAGGTCGTTTTTCCTACCGGCCCTTTCGACCACTCTTAGTGAGATAGCCAACACAGCTACTCCTGATTCTATTATCGCGTTGTAAGGAATTCCCCAAATTTCAATATCACATTCCGCGGACTTCCACGGAATCGGTTTAATCCGTAAGAAGTGATCGTCTTTCTGAATTAATCCCACCCGTATTGGGTCCGGAGTGCTTGTTGGGTTTTTTTCCGGCTCGGGGCCCTTGGCTTTGACACTTGGTGTTCGGGCGAGGGCAAATCGCTTTCGGTTTGCTTTGCAATGTTGTAGCATTCGCTCATTGGCTTGCTCTGAGATCGAGAGTAGATGACCGATCGGTAGTGGAATCCGATGGTCCAAAGCTCGGATAATGTTTAATACATCGATTTCTCCTGTGACGAAGGTGGGTCCTCCCGACTCCATTTCTCCTAAGGACGGTCGCCACTCCGCCACTTCTTTCGATTCTGGTGCTGGTCTGATTGTTCCGATCATTCCTAGTCCAGGATATCCCAGCGACACATACTGATCTAGCGGATTAGCTCGGCGGCCTCTTCTGTGGTGGCCAAGGCACTTCCCCCACCCTCTACTTCTTCCATCAAGGCTCCGACTCGTCGAGGTCTATTGGCGATGGGGGCCGCAGCCATAGGTGCGACTCCAATCCGCTGTTGCAGGGGTCGGTGGGGGCAATCACGGGCTAGATGTCCGGGCTGATGACAGGCATAACAGCCATTCAGATTGTTCGCAGCTCCTCCGAGAGTCGGGGCAGGGGCTAATCCTTGTTGCATCGGAGGGGCACGCACCGCAATAGGTCGCATGTTCCTCATCATGGCTTCCAGCCGAGCATTGTGCTCTCGCTGTTCCTTTTTGCTTTCTTAGATCAAACTAATCAAAGTTTGGTCAGTTCGAAAATGGTCGCGGATTCGTTTGATCGTAGGGGAGCCTCAACCGGCGGTGGGGGTAATGCCCTGACGGGCGGGGGCATCATAGGAGCAGAGATGCTCGGAGTCTCACTTAGGATTACTCGTTTGGGGCCTATCTGTTCCATATAATTGACAGGTCCTGATACGAATCCCATATTTTCAAATTTCTTCTGCAAGGCAACCAGTTCTGCTCTCGCTCGTACGAGCTCAGTCAAGTCTTCGTCTCTAGGGTAGTCTTCTCCTTCCAGAAAGTTCGTTGCGAACTTCCGTTCCATTTCTTCCGCGGCAGCCATAATTTGTAGTAGCGTATGAGTGATGGGGGAAAACTGCTTTCACAACTTAGTCCTTATTGTTCGACTGCGGAGTCCGTCAATGAACAGGTCTCTCCCTACTTGCTCACCTCGCTCAGTTCTTACGAACATCCTGCTCAGGGTTTCGATATTCCGCAACGGATTCGAGCGGTTTTTGCACTCGGTCCTTGATCATGTACAATGCCTGCTCAGGGTGAACATAATCAATCGGTTCATGAAATTCCGTTCGAAGGTCGGGAGATCCACCCATACATTGGTACTATACCAATGATGAGCGTCTCCTCCCATTCGAGCCGGAATGTTGATCTGTGCTTCCTGGTCATCGTATTGCTGTGCTCTAAGCATGGCCAGCCATGCTCCTGCGAGATGGTGCGCCGGATCAAATAGATAGAGATCTGGTGGCGACATAGGAGCTCGTGCACATGGGGCAGGTTGATTAGGTGGATTAGCATTTTGTTGCGAAACCGGATTTTGCACGTTGGCAGCCATATTGGTTGCTCGTCGGTTAGCCGCTCTGCTTCTGGTGACGATAGGGTCGCGTCTAGGCGCGTTCCGAGGGCGAGGTCGCCTACGGTTAGCCAGGTCGCCTAATTAACGTGTTGTCAATCCTAAGACCCTAGCCACGTGTCGGGCTCCGATACCAACCTCACGCCCAGCGCGACTTCCTGATCGGAGTGGGATGTGGGCCTGGAAGTGCGAAAAAGGGGTGTGCCAAGGATTTTTGGGAAAGTGGGGGAGTCTTAAGGATATGAATGGAATTGGGTGAAAAAGGGGCGTGTGCGCAGGGGACTCGAGGCCCGATGGGGCCGGGGCACTGTGGGCGACGGTTTACGGGGAAATCCCTCCGCGGTGGAGGCGGTCCCGAAAAGTTAGGCCGTCGGGGGCCGCCACGTGGCGCCGGTCGCCGCGTACCTGGGTTGGGCCTTCGGA